AAAAGCTGTTTATTTGAGGAGGGTGTAGACTTCATGCCAGAGAAGGGCAGCTGCAAAGGCGCACAATGAGCAGCCTCACAGATTCCCAAACGTGTTCATATTGGCTGCTAGGGACCTATTGGCCATTGAAAGCACTTTCCTTCAGCCCACCCTGACCCTATGAGCCTCCTGTTCAGCCTCCTATGAGAGATGAGAGCAAAACTAAGGGTGCATCTTCCTCGAAAGGCTGCACCATCTCCATGTCTTCAGGAGACAGGCTTGGTTTGTTTGCACACCTCTATACTTGTCCCACACGTCTCATATATTGCCCATGCTACCTCACCAAGGCTGAGTAATGGCATAGAAAAGATCACGACAATGGTTTAGGCTTCAAAGTTCGTACTTAGAAGACCACTGCACAGTTCATAGCTCTGTCACACACACCTTGTGATGGTGTTTATGGAGGAACTATCTCACTGTTCGTGGCATTAGAGCTGAAAATAACCCTTACAACTAAAATAACTCCCTTGCTCAGGAGTGGTACAAGGCAGATGGATCTGTCAGCCCTTAGAGTAAGTGATAAAAATGATTCCATCATATTTCCAAAATGTGGACACCACTGAAAGGTGCAGACACTGTCTGCCCACACCAGGTAAATAACACCGACGACTGACCAGTTGGTGTATCCCATTTTGCATTTATACTCCCTGGACTGAACTGTCCTAAACACAAATAAACAGCTAATGTGGTGTCCACGCTGTTCAAATGGGACCAGCAGCAAAGAAGGACTTTTGTGATGCGATCCACTGCAACACTTGCCAATTCAAAGCCATCAAACCAGCCGTAAGGCGCAGAAACTTTGGGTCACTACAGGTCTGGGCAATACAAACAGGATTTATTAGAGTAAGTTTAAGCCATCTAACAACTAAAGTTCAAGGCTAGACTAGTAATTTTGGGTTCCTCTACAGACAATTTGTGGTTACCTTCAGAGAGCAGCTTAGAGACATCTAGGTTGAATTGTCCTTTCAAGGTGCCTTTCTCCATTGCCTAGAGTGGAAGCCTAAAAGGCCAAACTGCTAATCTTTAAATAGCCAAAGGCAGATAAAACAAGTTCCAGTGGCTTTCAGTAGTGCGTGGTAGAGCCCTGTGAAAGGTAGAAAGTTCAACTGTCCACTCAATGAACCATAAAGTCTCTCTTGTGCAGTTAATTCTGTCTGAGGCTGAAGACGACCGCTTTGCCATCGGCTTTCGTGCTGTAATCATCTCCCATTATCTTAAAAGACCTATTTCTGGGAGCTTTTTTATGCTTTATTGTTGATATTAATTGAAGCCAAAGGAAAAGAAAGAAATGGTTAGTGAACACCAAAGTAAGAAGGGAAGGACGTTGTGGTTGTCCTGCCAAACCTATATGGAGTCAAGGCAGATTTCGTGTCTTCTGGCTCTTCTGTGCTGCTGAAAGGATTCATTGAGTATTCTGTGACAAGTAATGACCTTTCCTCTCCCACTCATTGGGTTAAGGTCCTGAAGCCAGTTATAGGGTGTATTAGGGAGCTGTAAACACAAATAAGTGCTGCTCTTTCAGCTACTAGAGACAAAAAAAATGGATCTCATGACTTCCTGCCAATAGAAAGGCACATGTGTTTTCTATCTGTTGGTAAAGAACCCAGTGATACCGAGCTTTGCTGGAGGAACATCTGTATTTTTTAATGGACATATAAAACCTTTCCTTCATGAACCAAGATTCATTTCACATCCAATATGTAATTCCACCAGTCTGCAAAGGCTTCTGTGGCTCACTAAACAGTTCTTAGACATATTTTCAGTTCCAAAAGACAGATCAAGAAATGAAAAATCTCTGCTCCCCAGCCCACTCTTCATCTCACCACCAGTAGTTAGGGGAGCAGTGGGTATGGAGGAGGAAAGAAGCAAGTTCCTGTGCGGTGTAGAGAAATGGAGCAGCAAATGGAGAATCCTCATAGAGCTGAGCTGAAAAAGCATGGGTAAAAAGGAGTAAAAGAGTAGGACCCTGGCTGGATAGAGAAAGAAGAAAATCTCCATCCATAATGACTGAGTGACATGAGGTAGACAAAAGAAGCTAATACCCATCATTTTCTTGCACACGTATAGAGTTACCTGCTAAAGACAACTGAGATGGCTGATGGAGAAGAAGACAGGATATTTGGAAGTGAGCAGCTTAAAGGAACGTGAATAGATATGTATATTTGTCAGTAATTGAAGTTGGAGCCAATGCTGGGGTAGAGTCATTACCAACTGGGGTAAGAGATGGAGACTGATATGAGAAATCCATTCTCTAAATGGAAGTGACTGGCCAAAAACAGTGATATGATGAGAATATGACTAATAATGTGACAAGGGCCCAAACCACAGACATTAGGCCTCGATTCAGAGCTGGATCTCTCTCAGTGCAGTGGCAGTGAGAGCCAGCCCGTACAAGAGCAGGACTGAACTGTGAAGGCTGGATACAAACTTGGTCTTGCAGAGATTTGGGTTTGGCTTCTCTTTACTGAAAATGACATTTATTATAATAAATGGTGGCTGAATTTCCAAAATCTCGAGGCTGAAGCGTGTTCCTGCTGCTTCTGTGTTTACCTTGAACAAAGCTGAATACCTGCATTTAAAGCACAGCTCCAGAAATCCCACAGGAAAAGAAAACTTTCAGTAAGAACCAGAAATATGCAGGAAGCACAGCTTCTTTGACAGAAATGGTCTCTTTCATCATGAATCCCGTCCAAAATCCCAATAGGCAAAGACAAGTGGGTATGAGCAGAGACTCGTCTAAATGAAGTTCATCTCAGGGTCAGTACTAAAAAGGGTGGAAGGGTGGAGGAAGAGGGATCCCATTTTGGTGAAAGGTTTTATCCCTTAAAGCCTACCTTACATTGTGCATTTTCAGAGTCAGATAAGGGAAGAACATCCCCTATGGCTGCTTATATATATTGAGTTACAGCTCATTATGTGGAGGAGAGGAGCTGCTAGCCTACAGCAGTTTCAGGCTGTTCATACTGCAGTTGTGAACGAATTAGGTGGTCTCTTCCTGTGCCTCATTAACCCTTAGAGGCACAATGTCATGGAGAAACAGGAGAGATTATTTACAGTAGACAGTAGATACAGTTTTAATTAAGGCAAGGTCCACGCTGAGGCATCCCATCCAAGGTCTGAGTCTCCTTGAAGCTCAAAGTAAATTGGATAATCTGGAATTCCACTTTGAAAGCAACCCCCTACAATCCACAGAGTATCTCTAAAGCACAGCTGCCTTCTGCATAACCAGGCAGAGGTTGATTCATCTCATCGCTCATTACTTTTATTGCCAACTTCATAGGTTTTGATTGCACAATGCAAAAGTGATAACAGCACCGCAGGGCAGCAGAATGACTCATCAGGCATTACTGCTCCCTGTTAGCAAAGGCTTTTCTATTTACCTAGGTGCTTGTGCTGCCTTCATCTCCCTGGTGTTTGAGTGCTTCCCAAACAAATAGAACTCCATCTCTGCCCGTGCTTCCTCTGCAGACCCAGCAGGAGTGTTAGGCTGCTGCGTGTGCCAAGGTTCTGAGACTAATATGCAATATAAGGCATGACCTGTCCCCACCAGACCATTGCCAGCTGTGAGATGGAGACTAGGAATATGGTGCCCCAGCAGAGAGGTAAACAGGGAATTCACACAGTTGGTGACACTCATAAACATAAATAGCCAGTCTCCTTACATATTTTTTTGAGACTAATAGAACTTAATGCCCTCAAAGATTTGTTTCTTTGGCACAGATTTTGCAAGGGGAAACAGAGCCAAACTTAGCTCCCAGATCACTGGACATGAGGTATGCCTTCCATCTCATCCCAGGCAACAGCAGGGAAAGCAGTGTATTTTCAGATTTGTTCTGTGTGATGATGTTCCCAGGAGCTTGGATCTGCAGGAGAAAGTGAGGATAACAGCAAATGGGATAACCCCCGTGTTGTCCTTTGGGAAACAGCTGCCTGCTGAATACTGAAAACAGGGACAAATTTGCTCTGGATAACCCCTCACAAATGTGCATGCTCATCACCATCCCCTTCAGATCCCGGAGGACAGTAACACCATTGATCTGCAGTCACAGAAGAGGATAGTTCCCCTTGAACCTGGGTTTAAGTGAACCTGACAACCCAAAGAAAATGTGGGTCTTGAATGCCCATCCCTTGCCCCTTGGCTTACAAGACCAACATGAAACCTAAACTGTAGTCCTCAAACAGCTTGGGACAGTGGATTAAAAACCCCACTGCAGTCACATTCAAGCATGCACAATTGGACTTGAACCAGGGAATGGTTGCACAGGGACTGATCCATCATTCTGTCTTGTTGAGGACTGACTCAACTCTGAGTTTTCCTACAACCCCAGAAGCATTTGGTCCGGGGCTGACACTGCAGGCACCATCCTGTATTAGTAACACAGTCTCCAATGGCCAGATCAGGGTCTGGGGCTCCAGATCACACCCACCTCTAATGACATGATGGTCCAAAACTTCTGATAAGAAGAAAGACCTACACATGCCACCAGGGCAGTTTCAGACAGCATGGATGCTGACCTGCACCCTCTCTTCACCCTCCTGCAGATCTTCTGCATACAGGGACCATGATGGCTGCAGAATGTGGCCCGCAGCGGGTTTGGAGTGGGACCAGAGACAACATAATTCCTGGAGAGCACTGCACACCAGGGATGTCAGAGGGGCAGGGACAAGTATTAGTTTAACATGTTTAACTTGAGCTTGTACTATTTTAAGATGCAAAACCTCACAGAGGCTCCAAACTGATTGCAGCTAAAAAAGACTTACTCTGCTATTTGAGTTTATTTCTTTATAAAAGGCAGAATTTATGCTTTATTTAAAAATACAGTTTCTCTAAGTTGGCAAGGTCTTCATAGCTATGTGGCAAGGATTAATATATCTGAGTTTCTAACCGGATTTTTTATCTCCCAAATATCTTTCCTGCCATTACACAGGACCAGGACCGTATGTGATAACATCACATCTAGCTTTGTGATGGAATGAAGACATGTAATGAGGCTGGCCTCAGCGTGGGGTCTCCCCATTTGAGTCCTTGCAGAGGAACGGGAACAACAAGAGCCAGTTGCATTCAGGATCCCATAGGTCTGCACAAAGACCGGTGTCACCGAAGCCTACTGTTGCTGAGCCACAGGCGGTTTCCTTCCTACCACAGACATCAAAGGAGAATATAGCTTCTTAATTTGCAGTCAGAAGATGACACTGAGATGTCCGTGTCCTCTGCGGAGCAGCAATAGGCTACCCTAAATTATAAAGGGCAGGGAAGAACTGTTTTGGTTTGTTTTTATGAGAAAATAGAGTTTGAGGTTATGGGAATTCCATAAAGGACAATGTCTCACAGTAGTAAAAGATTATAAAACCGAATTACAGTTCAAACCAGTAAGTGTTACATTATGCACGGAGACACATTGACTGTAAGGCTTAACAATACACCAAAGCCGCCAACACTAGAGCAAGGCAAAGGGCCTCCTTTTAAAACTCAGTTTAATAGTGCCTGACATAGAATGAGTAATAATGTTAAGCAACAGAGAATGGACCATAAAACAGTGCTATATGCAATAGCTATTATCCTATGTGCTAATCTTCATATCACATTATTTCCTCAAATAATCATAATATTGTGCCAACAGCCCCTTCATTCCAACTCATTATTTCTCCAGCTTGCTTCCTTCACAAGGAATAGGACTCATGCTAACAATGCCCTCAGGGTCCATGAGCAAAGCTGCGTGCTCGGGTACCCAGAACAGAGGAAGTCTCTTTCTTGGTCCTTTTCTTCAGTTGTCTCTGTTTGTTCCTTCATGCAATTACAAGGTAGTAGGAAAGATTTTCATGGAATAGAATAAAGAAATCCTTTACTGTCACAAGTCTTCTGACTGCTCTTCTGGTTTATGCCTGTCACGTGTTTATTCTCCTTGTTCTCACTTCTCACCAGTTGGGTTCTAATGTTTGCGCCTCTCTTGGTGCAGTCTCTGCTCTAACATTGTACAGCGTGTTCCTGCTGAGAACTATCAGCTTTGACTTTCTGCAAATAAAAAACCCTCTTGTCATTATTTTGTCACACTTTCAGCTTCTACTAAATAACTAATTCACAACAATAAACCTCCTGGTTGCCATTAGAGGCAGGCTGCCAAGCGGTTCAGATGCAATCTCGTGTTATGTTGTTTTTATAAAGGTTTCCCAAAACCCAGCGTGAATAGACTCGGGTTTTGTGACTTAAAGTAAAATATTTGTTTAATTTTACATTCAAAATGTTGCTACCCAGAGCTGGAAATGTGAATGCAATGATTTGAGGCCATTACGCCAGCACAAACAAACTTCTCGTGCAAGCTCATACACAAACCCAAATGTCTACATGGAAGAGGTTAAAATAAGTAAGCTCACCTTGTTCTTTCTTTGCATCTCCCTCTCTGTCCATGTCTGTCCCCTACTATCTGCCCTTACATTTCAGTTCCTGGCACTGGGTCTGGGTTTTTGGGGTGATTTGTACAGCATCTATCACAGTGGGAGGGGAACATAAATAAACAGCAGTGAAGTTGTCATTTCAGATCACAAGGTGTACGTGCGTCTTACCTGTGGCCCGTATCGGGCCAAATGCATCATTTCTGCCATGCAGCAAACAAAGCCCTGGATGCTGATCAGACGTGAGGACCAGGCGTAATGCTGATAAGGCAGAAGGAGGAGGGGGGCCCAGGGTGGGATGTGAGCAGTCTGACATCCCTGACAGGGCTGAAGGAACTGAAATGGCTTTGAGCGATGTCAGCAGCAGAATACCAGATGCATTATGGAAAACTTCGTTTCAGTGGCCTCAGAGGGTACAAACCATCCCTCACATTTTCCTACACTGTTGTTTATGAATTCCACCGTGACACGGTCCCACCAACCAACACAGAATGGCTTTAGCAAGATTTTTCTTCTACTTGTATATTAACCAATTCATTGGTGCACTGATGCTTGTTCCATCCATCTAATGACACAACTCAATGGGTCTTTGCAAGATTTTGTGCAATAAATGTGGCGGCCATTAACTTTCCCTCCTCTTGGGCACTTGAGAAGATAAAAACCCCCTCTTTCTGCTGTAAATTTCTGCTATAAATCCACAGATGCAATTGCACACAATCCAATTTCAGCCTCTTGGGCCCACATTCATCCTTGTCCAACTATTCCTCTTGACTGAGCTGATTAGATTATAGACAAGGGCAGGCTCTCTAAATGCAAGGTCATGTGGCTTAAATTAAATCTAAAGGAGCTACAATAATATATATAACAGAACTTAGACATCTTTACTATGAAAGAGGTGGGGAAAAGGTGCTCAGCTGGCTCCACTCTGGCATCATTTGGTCTTGAGAAGAATAAAGTGGCTTGGTCTTCCTTTGGAAATCCATAGGGACCTGGTTCCCAGAAATGTTCATAATCTGATTTCTCCCAGAAGCCAAATTTCTGAAACCATTTGATGTTCCTGCAGGTACTGTGTAACCTATGGGTGACATGCTGCCCTCACCACTGCCTTTGAGCAACCAAATGGGAGGAAATGGGACAGACGCCAGAGCGAGCAATAATGCTGCCTCCCGTAAATCACACTGCAACTTACTGTACACCATGTCTGGGCTGCAGAGTACAGGTTTGAAACCTATGCTGTTTTAAAAAGCTTGTTGGCGTGGTGTACCATACAGTTATTTTATCCTACGAACAAAGCAGCTCGCGATTTTCTGGCTATTGTCTGCCTTTTTTTCCCTTCCTTTTAGAACAAACGGATGATGGAGTTACACAATATGTGACACACGCTGCTTATTTACCAGGATCATAAAAGGCCCCTATTTCCCAACACACAGAGTGAACTGAACAAGCCTCTGTGCTCAGAGTTCCCAGCCTTGGTCTGGCTAGCCATCAGCCCAAAAGCGCTTCCTTACGAGTGCTTCCCCACTCCTCCTCATTGCCTGCTTGCCCTCCTTATTGCTTTGTTTGCCCTCCTCACTACTGTTTCTGCTCCTCTCACCCCCCTGCATTCAGCTTTATCCAGCAAAGCATTTTCTCTTGGACCCCATCAATACTGTCCCTGTTAACAAGCACTAGAAGTGAAAATCTGAGATTTCATTCGTGGGAATTAGAATGAGAATAAAGTGATTTGGCTTGAACTGAAAGGTTGACCAGCTGAAGTAATGAGAACAAGGCAAGAGTGGTATGGAAAGGGTAGCTAATCTGCATTTTGCTAATCTGATCTAGCCACAGAGCCAGGAGAAGCAGCTCATCAAGCAGAACAAATGCTGAATGCTCATGCATTTCTGAAATGTACTGTCATCAGCTTACATCTCAAAACCAGAACCGTTCTGGGTATTTAACTGGAAACAACTGAAATTCTAGAGCTGGATGTGAAATTCTGCTTTGAGGTAAGAACTGAGGCAGAACTAGAGCTGGCCTGCTGCACAAGGGGTAGAATATGAGCTATAAGTGCTTCATTGCTAAAACAAGCTGCATTAGCACTGGTCCCCCAGCAGCCTCACCAGGCAGCCTGGCTCAATCCTCACTGCTGTGATGCATATTTTGGGCATCTACTGCCACTATTTAACTGCACAGAGCTACTCCAACTCATAGTTTTGGGGTGATCCAGCAGGTGAATGAGAGTTAAGTCCTGGGAATAAACCAGGACCTCGTCTTTCTGAATCCAGCTCTTCCCCAAGAGCCCAAGTGCAGGGAAAGCTGCATGGCCTCCAGCAATGTGGGAATGGTGAGCAGTAGCAGAGAGGCTGGAGTTAAAACAAAGCTCCTCTCTCAAGCATTTGAGCTTAGGCAGAAAACATTCGAGCAAGTGTTACCAGATGGGAGATGGGATGCTACAGCAGGGCCTCATGGAGGCTGGGGGCATTGGTCTCCTGGTGGTACCCCTGAGAAGCTGGCGTTTCACCAGCCCGTGCAAGTCCAGCAGGTACAAATGAACTGATGTTGGAGTAGTGCTTTCCAAAGCAGAAAGGGGAAGGGCAAGCATAGAATATGAAGGAGGGAAGAAAACATCAAACACAAGGAAAGAGCAAATGAAAAAGGATAAGAATGGAGGAAGAGTGGGGGAGAGCTGACACACAGAAACAAGTGAAACATGGCAGGAAACTGACAAGAGACAGGGACCTTAAATGCACCCTTACAGGTGCCTTTGCTTCATTTTCACCTGCACGTGCCTTTTGACCCTTTGTAGGTCAAGCTCAAGATTGCAAGTCATGAACCTTGCAGAGGAATGTGCCTTGTTTTGAAGGGTTTTCCTTCAAATTCCAGTCAGTCACACCAACAAAAATACTGAGCAAAAGCCACAGCTTCGTTTGATTCAGTGCAAAGGTCAGCCTGAATGAGAGCTTGGACGAAGCCAAGGAAACAGCCCAAAACACACTGTTAAAAGAAGCAACAGATTCACCTCTAGTGGTTCATGCCCAGGGTGGCTATTTCTGTTATTATTTATACCCTTTATGGGATAAGATGAAGATGTTCATTCTATCTTGGGAACAGCTGCTGGCTGCTGATGCCATGTCTCTCTACCACATCTCGCCAGCTTCAATCCAGCCAGATCAACCCCCACCACACAGATGCAACTTAAGCCAGCATCAAAGTCCTTTCCCCAGACAAGCTCTGTATGCCTGTGCAGATGGGTCCTGAACGGTTCCATTCAGGTTTTGGGAATGCTAAATGCTCATCGAAAACATGCCATTTATCACGCTCCAAACCCATCCATGTGACCCCTGGGATCATTTGTTTGCAGGAGTTTGACTGCTGGCATCCATGTGAATGCAGTACCACAGATGCCCCTGCTTAGGACACCCTGGCTAATCTTTATGTCTATATAACACTCTGAGGATGGTTCTGTCCATGAAATTTAGCTTTCATGGGAATTGCACTGAATAAAGAAGTGGGTGCAAGGACCAGGTCCTTGAGACCTCATGGGGAATCCCAGCTGGGTCCCAGTGCATCCTCAGGAGAGGACATCAAGCACCAAGGGAGGTGTCACAGACACAGGCTCCCCAAAGCAGACGCTGCTGAGGCCAGGGCTGGTTGAGCTTCCCAGCTACAGGGCCTTGGTAGCCACAGGGAACATGACTCAGCCTCCAGGAGGGGCTGTGGGTTGGGTGTGAAGAGCAAAGATTGTATTCTATAGCAAACAAAACCCCCTAGATTTGAAGAGATGGAATAAAGATGTAAATGCTCTGCCCCGCAGCAGAAGCATGGGGAGAGTCAAAACACCCTGGTGGGAAGGGGCTGAGTCCCACCCTGCGGGTGCAGTTAGGGACTGCAGCCCTGCTCATGGGATGTGAAAAGAAAACATGGCAACAACAGAGGAGAGACAGGAAAACCACCCTGCAGCAGCACACAACAAAACCTCAGTGTCTGTGTTGGTGGTAGTGTGAGTACCTAAACCAAGGAAAACAAAACAGACCCAATGGAGGGACACACAAAGTGCAGATGTGCTTCATCCACCCTGCACACCAGGGGCCAAGCACCAAAGGACTGAGCTCCCCATTCTCTCCGCACACTGTGAAGGCTGCATGTGCCCATGTGGGTCTGGGCCATTCCCAGCTGCAATCCCACAGTCCCAGCACCCACTGGGCGAAGGCATTGGGCATACAAAGTGCCTATGGTTTGATGAAATGCACTTCAACTCCCCCAAGGCTCTTCCCTACTGGGATCACCCTGATGGAAACAGCGTCGGAAACATTCCTGTTTGTAGCCCCAAATCCCTTCAGCTGCAAAACAAATAGTTTGGTCTCTTGTGCCAAACCTTCCCCCTTCTGTTGCCGCTCCTGCTTTTTCTGCCATGCCCCAGCACTCACTGATCTTGGTTCAGGTTAAAGCTGGTGGGAAATGACAAATCCTTTCCACATAAATCTTAACACTGGCTTGAGTTCGTTGAGAAACAGTGGTGATTTATGGGGGATTAGCAGATCAGAGTTGAGGAATGTAAAGAGGTTTAGGCTAACTAAGTGGAATGCTTAGAGCTGGGTCACGGAGAATTTGATGCAGGCTCAGGACTCTTAAATGGTGTGCAATAAAAAGCAGAAGAGGGAAGCGTGCGTTTCAAATGCCCCTTGCAGCATGGGAAATTGTTTTCCTATGTTACAATATGGAGATAAAGCTTAGGCAGCCTTCTGTGTGATGCTGGTTCCTGAAGGTTAGCGTAAACAGAACACTAAAGGTGCATTTATTTATGGTGTATTTTTATTGATTGTAGTTATACATTCCCAGCAGATGGAGGAATAGTAAGACAGTAAAGTCAGAAGGCAAATGGAGTGAAGTCAGGAGGCAGTGAGTCCCTATGAAATGTTAAAGGCAATGCAGTCAAGAAAGGGCTAATGGGTCTTTTTTTTTAATGGGAGAAGAAAGAGAGTCAAAAATAGAACAAATAGAAAAAACATCTTTTCTTTGGTCATGATGGGGAAAGTGAGGAATAACCCCCTTGTGCCTTGCTTTGATTTTGTTTTCCCCATTTGCTTTGTGGTGCTCTGTAT